TACCAAACAAACTAAAAGTTTGACCTGTCTACCTTAAAAAAATTAGATTTTAGTCTTATATCTAAGTTGTTTTCTCCAGTTATGGCATTCACTTCCTTATGTGGAGGAACAGAAGAAAGACATACCAAGAAGGAATATATATGTGCATAATCCTTATTTACCTGTATGTATATCCTGACTCTTGAATTAGCATTCTTATGACTGACTTCAGCAACACAGAATGTCTGTTTCTAGAATGGACCAGTCTGGATTTGGGTTCTTATTCTCTTCCACTTAAAAAAATTATAAAACTACTGTTACTCATTCAAATTCACACACTAAAACTTCCCATTCCAGTCTAGTTTTTATATCCCTAAATGGAAATGTCGAGGAAAGAGTAAGTCAGATCTCTATTTTTGCCTTCATATTGGAAACCAAAAGGCATTTTTTATTGTTTGTATCCTTTTTCCCAAGGAAAAGGATACAAACTCTTCTTCGCAGTATAAGTTACCTTTACTTGGGTCTTTTGTGGACACTTTCTCAGCTTAAAGTACATCACGGTACTTATACTGTCATCCTCCTCATCAGATATAGACGTTTCATAGATTTAGTATTTCTCAGGCAGTACCAAAGCACTGGATTTTATTTGGTTCTCTTTTATTCATGTGTCTCCATTTACTCTAATGAACTTGAACTAAGTGATAAGGTTAAACATGGCCATCATCTTTTTTGTCCAATCTCTTCTCAGAGAGTTCCTTCCTTACAAATATATTTCAAATTAAATATGACAGGTGTACTGACAAAATTTCTCTTTCAGTGATTATCAGGAGAGAAAACTCTGAATGGAAAGGATTTCTTTATTTTCCATGTATCTTTAAAAGAAGCATACTTGGACTCTTCTCATTATATATAGTAGTGTAGGTGTTCCCTTCTCATTATTATAAAATAATATCTTATTATTATAAAATATTTTCTAAATGTACAATACTTTGTTTTTATAAAGTAATATTTTATAACATCACAATTATGCAATAAATTCCTGTTCTGTTTTACTATACTACTCTCAGAGATAGGTATTAACTTCCAGAAATTATTTTGCAAATATGCATAATAATCACAAGAGTCAATGGGTATTTCATTGTCTCTCTTAGCAGTGCCGTCATCCTGGACTAGTTTTGCAAAACCATTACAATAATTCATGACAAATAAATAACTCTTGAGAATTTTTCTATAGATGTTTCCCTTAGCCTATGTATTTTATGCTTACCCATCTTTTCAAAGACACTGTGTCTGCTGCGAGAGAGTGGAAATCATGATAACTTCTGATGAATATATTCTGGTGAATATTATCTATCGTTTTATATATTTAAACAAACTCAGAGAGTTATTTTCCTTTTATGATATATTTATCACATAACTTCTAATGTAACTCCACACTTTTACTTTTCAGTGCAGCAATTGTAAATAGCTGTAAGTTTTTACTCATGAAGACAAATATTTTTGAGACAAAATCAGTTCAGTCTTTGGGTACAGAGTTCATATGGTATCAAAGAAGTCATGACCAAAAAG